AGTTTGTTCTATAAGCTCAAGGAAATCCCTGCTGTCTTTCCTTCCAGGTGAGTGAAAAATTCATTAGAGTCAGACATGCCAAGACTCTACATGCAGTTTTCTTTTACCATTATGCTTGCTATTAGGAATCCGATCAGACATAGAACTGGTTAGGGACGCAGGCTGCAGCTGGGCCTGACCAGATTCTTTTATTCTATTCATGCAAACGTGGGGAGTATACCTAAAATATCTTAGCCTCTCTCTGTGTGCTAAAAACCTTTATTTTCACCAGTGAAAGCCCATTTCTAACATGCATCATGCCCCTCAACAGGTCACTGTTTTCCCTAATAATAACCCATTTTGGACATTCACATTGGTTATACTTATCCGTGGTTAGGTACGGATAATAAAAATGCTTCAAGCAGATGCCTCCAGCACGCTGAATCCAGTGCTGTCAGAACCCCCTGGCTCGGGCCATTCCTGCGTAGAAGGCCAGCTGATCACCCGGGTCCTGCTATAACAGACATAATATCACGTGGCGTATGTTGAAATATTTTAGGTAAATTTTAGACGACATAACCACGCAATCGGCAGACTAGTTTTGCAGATTAAATTAGGAGGAATTGCTTTTCCATTTTTTTTAAATGAATTTGTTGCCAACAACAATAAGAAAGGGAGCTTTCGCATAAAGATCTTGATGTTTGGCTTCTCTGGGAACACTGGGAGATCGAGCAACTCCAGGTCCACGTTCCTCTATGGCAACTGCCTCCTCTCGCTGAGCAGCAGAAGCCTGCTTTCGACCTTGGAGGGAGGGTGCTGAGAATATGCTCCAGGCTCCGCACAGCCCTGCACTCCCTGAGGCCTCCCGAAACGGAGACTAAGAGTCGAGTGTCCTTGTCACTGAGATGGCGTGGCTGGGCTGGCTTTCAGGACCCTCCTCCCCTCTGTAGATTCCTGCCTGGCCCCTGTAGCTGTGCGGGTCTTTGACCTTCACAGCTATCAGTTTTCCTCCTTGGCTCAGTGCTTGTGCTTTGCTTAGGCTGATTGTTGGTCTGGAATTCATTTCCTGTGAGGCTTGCTGTCCACCTCTTCACCTCATCTTCAAGGCTGGGTCCCAGGCCCACTTTGGATATAGCCTTTCAGGACCGCTACGGCCATAGCTCCACTGCTTCCACACAGACGACATAGCGTTTGGTTTTGCATGTTCTGTTGTCCGTTGTTTCATGTCTTATCCTACCTAGATGGAAATATTCTGAAGGTTGAGAAACACAACTTTCTCATATTTTATATCTTCCGCTGTAAAATGTTAATGCTTATCCCCTCAGTCCACTTGCTTCATTTCTTAAATGGCAGAATACAGTAGCTTATTGATCTACCTAACAGTTGTTGTAAGGAATATTTATACATGTTAAAAATAAATAGGAGAGTCTTATAAATATGAAAGTAATAGAGGAATAGGCTTACATAAGAAGCCTGCTAAGGAAACAGAGGCCCAGAAAGTATAAGTCCCTTGCTGGAGTCATACGTTTGGGGAGTCGTCTAGTCTTAGGCCTACCCCATGTAATACTCAGCTCTTGCCTGTTAGTATTGTGATGTTTCCGGTAGACCTACCACTCTCCAAATCAGATAACCATACCTCAAAGTTCTGCAGATCCTCCACAAGGCTTAGTAGCACTCACATGTCAAAATAAGACAATGACCATATTGACTTAAATCGTACATGACAAATGAGGTGAAGGTGATGCATGCACATAAGACACTCACCAAGAGCCAGGACAACCGAGATGCTTCTGTCGTTGATAAGGACACTCAGAATGCCCTCTGCTGATGGTCCTGTTCGTACAGGAGGAGCAACTTACCCGGACAACAAAGCATCATGTGCAAAGGCAACAATGGCAAGGCTAAGGAGGTGATGGAATCAGGGAATGAAAAGCGAGTAGTTTAGCGGGGCTGGAGCTCCCCTCCTGAATCTGGGAGTAGTGAGAGATGGGACGGGAGAGGAAAAGGGACAGAGTTCTCAAGTTACGCTGATTTGGACTTTATCCTGAGGGGACAGGGAGCTTGAAAGACTTTCAAGGAGGGCCCAGGTCTGTGGCATAGAAAGGCCTGGATGCTGGAGCCTGGATCTGGGGAAAGAAGGGTGGAGGGGACTTTGGAGGCTGCTGCAGGAATCTTGGCAAGACATACTGGTGGCCCCCACCAAGGCAGTAGCTGTGGGGAAGGAAAGAGGCAGGTGGATTCAAAAGATGTTAGAGCCTAGTTACTAGGATGGCAGCGTTCTTTCTGGTTGTTTTCCTTAAAGCATCTTTTACCCATATCCCCCAGTTATTCCCAGAGGTAGGAAGATGGACTGGCTACTTATGTGTGGCCTTTGATTCCATGTTGCCAGAGAAATGTTCATGGTTTCAGCCCAAGTGTGTCTGGCTCCATTCCCTTTGGCTGTATAGATGAACCCCTTAGGAAACAGGGACAGCTTTTCAGGGTTCTGTTCTGCCACCTTTCTCTCACTGTCATATGTAAGCTGTTTCAACAGACTATACCAATTTTCCTGGTTGTATAAGCACACTATGTACTTCGGGCAAAATGTTCTGTTTCTCAGTACACGTAAATCTGTCTGCATACGCATTAGCCATACATAGGAGCAAACTGTGTATTCATTCTATAGTCATAAGAGTGAGTAGATGTTAGAATTTGTGTTTTCTGCTCCTGAAATTTTTGTTCTGAGATTTAAAGACATTTAACCATCTGGTTATGACTTTAAAGTGAGTGTTCAAAGTGGAGGCTATGAATAAATATGTGAATCATGAAAGATATATTGAAGGAGTATTGTCAATAATGTGTTGCTACCATACATCTTTCTAAGCTGTTTTTCTAGCTTTTTAGAATGTCTAATGTAAGCAGGTAGTATTTTTAAGGAATTGGAAAAATATTCAATGTTAACTATGGATTTTCATCTGGATTATGTCTTTTAGGGAGACTGTAGGGTGCAGGTTGCTTCAGCTGCCTGTAAAACCATGTATTTTTCCTTAAAGCAGCTTTTACCCATATCTTTAATTATTTACAGATGATATATATTTATTTAATATTATCCTGTTATAAAGTCATTTTAATAAAAAAGAATATTGTATTCATTGTTGAACTTCTTTTCAGAAATGTAAATTAGGTTAAAATTAATAATTTTGAAAGACTTATCATATTCTTTTCCTCTAGCCAGCTACAGTAGATGCTTACAAATGATTCAGTTCACCTAAGTCTTTTGTAAGAGAATGAACTGCATCTTCTCCCACTCACAGGAAACTGATTGACTGCTTCCAGAGGTTTCTTTTCACAAGACTTCAGTTTTCTGACCACGGTTTATGAATTCAAAGAGTTTTAGAGTTTGACACATGTATGCAAATTAAATTAAATAGCAATTTTTCAAAATGCGCATTTGTTCAATATAAACATGAGAGTAGCCCTTAGAACAAAGACTCCATTTATCAATTTTCATTCCTTTTACTTGCAGTTGAAATCCCGTTAGGAGTGTGAATAAATTTAAATTGTAAATAAAGTGAAAGAGCCACTGTATTTCTACTCAGGGAACCAGTTACAATGTTGTTAAGTCTCGCAATTCTATAACTTAATGTTATAGGCCTAAAGCAAATACTAATACATTTTGACCTTGGTTTGAACTTGAGGTTGTTCTTTGGTAATTGCTGTCATTCAACCTTATCTGAAATGCCTAATTAATTCATCTCACAAAAAGAACTTACAGTATATAATGGGTGTTAAGAAAAATATTACTTAATTCTATAAACCATTCCATCTGTATTTATGAAAATTATCCAGAAAGCAAACATTGAAAAAAAAAAAATCTTTGCTGACTACGCTTTTCCTTTGTGTTGATTACTGTACATGATGAATCTAGGCATTTTGGCTTTATGTACCTGCGTTTATGGATTTACCATGATGATTTTGGCTAAGGTGCTAGCACTGTGTATGCAAGGACATGGGAATGTGGAAGATAGATGTTATTCATCCTTTATTAAAAAAAAATTAACTTCCCAAACATTGATGACTTGGAATAAAAGAAGCTAGAAAATAGTCATAAAAGAAAAACATAAAAAGGAACCATACCACATAGAGTTTTACTGCCTCCAGTGGTATTCTTATAAATGACTTTGCAAAACGAATCTTAGCTAAAAGCCCAGACCTTTTATATTTAGGGCTTTGGAAATGTGTTTATATTTTGATTGATCGTATAATTCTTTATGATTAGTTATGACTTTTGATACCTTTTTAGTAGAAAACGTAATTTGGTATGGTGAGCTTTTGGGCTGGCAGGCTTACTGGCCCATTACTCAGAACCTTAGACCGTGCTCTAAGGCAACGGTCCCCAACCTTTTTGGCACCAAGGATTGGTTTCATGGAAGACAATTTTTCCATGGACCAGGACAGGGGCCGAATGGTTTCAGGATGATTCAAGCACATTACATTTATTGTGCAGTCAAATCTCTCTTCTAATGATAATCTGCCTTCGCAGCTGCTCCCCAGCACTAGCGTCACTGCCCAGTTCCACCTCAGATCATCAGGCACTAGATTCTCATAAGGAATTCGCACAACCTAGATCCTTCACGTGCACAGTTTACAGTAGGGTTTGTGCTCCTATGAGAGTCTAATGCAGCGGCTGATCTGACAGAAGGTGGAGCTTTTGCGGTGATGCCAGTGGTGGGGAGCAGCTGTAAATACAGATGAAGCTTCGCTGGCTAGCCCGCTGCTCACCTCCTCCTGTGCAGCTTGGTTCCTAGCAGGCCACAGACTGGTACTGATCTGTGGCCTGGGGCTTGGGGACCAAAGCTGTAAGGTGTAGGGGATGGCAGCTGGCAGGTCTGCCCTGGTGTATACGCGAGAGAGCACCAGGAACATGTTTGGAGCAATTCATCACCCTGCAAATCTCACCGGGAAGAAATACATTCAAAAAGTTGGAATTGATAAGCAATAATGTCTTACATAAAATAAGGGTGACTTTTTTTCCCTTTCAGATTTTGGGGTAAGTGCATTCTTAGCAACAGGGGGTGATGTTACCCGAAATAAAGTGAGAAAAACATTCGTTGGCACCCCATGTTGGATGGCCCCTGAAGTCATGGAACAGGTAAAAAAAAAAAAAAATGATATTTTGATGGACACAGTACAGTAGTACATATCGTTTATGTGCTAACATTTCATTCAAATCATTTTAGTAGAATGCATCACATCACTAAGATTTAACACCTCATTGCTAGTTCTTCGCAAACTAATGTGAAAGTTGTGCATGAAAAGCTGTGGATTTCTGACATAATATGGACTTTGTGATGTGTAACATGCCTGCTGTATAATTGTGTTTTTTTCTGGTTTCTTTCTTAGGTGAGAGGCTATGACTTCAAGGCTGACATGTGGAGTTTTGGAATAACTGCTATTGAATTAGCAACAGGAGCAGCGCCTTATCACAAATATCCTCCTATGAAAGTAATTATAATTGGAAATAATATATCGGGTTTGAAATGCAGTTGGATGGAATCTGTTCTCTCATTCTCTTGAACGTCATCATTTTTCTTTTAGACCTGAGGAGAATTAATGGAAGGATGCAGCCAAGTTGAATGCTGTGTGATCTTCTTAGTGGGCAGAATAGGACACCTGTAGTACAGATCCCAGCTTTGAAGCTTGCTTTACATTCTTAGTACAGAGTTGAGGAAAGAAGGTGATCAGATGGGTTGATGGAGGTTGGTCACCATGGCAAATGCTATTCATTATTCTTTTGATAGCAGAACAACCCCAGGTTCCCAAAGAAAATCTGAAAAAAATAGAGCCTACTGATGTCAACTTTGCAAATGGATTTCCCAGATTTTCAGGCTGTTAAAAAAAATTGTCTACATTTTCACCCCTGCTCTCATAGTGTAGTGAGCCACAGTGTTTTTTAGGAAGTAACACGTGCTTTGGGTGCTATTTTCAAGTTCTTGTTAATTTTTTAACTGGCTTACCTCATTTCTCTTAGTTCTGAGATAGTGGTATCAGGGCTGATTTACCCAACTGGATTTTGTTTTGAGGCTGAAATAGTTCAGTGGAAATTATAAAGCTATTTTACAGAGAATGTGGCCTCTGGTCGTCTCATGGTTATTTATGGCAATTAGAAAAATTTCGGAGGATTAAAAAAAACTTGAGGATAAAAATGTTAGTTTTACTTACTAAAAAAAGTAATACATTCTTATTGTACAAAATTTGGAAGTACAAGTAGGACTAAAGAAGAAAGATAACCGTCCATAATCGCACCAACCACAGGCGATCTCTATTAAGGTTTTAGTGTGGTTTATTCCAATGTTCTTCTCTATATATTTATATAATATTTTTAAGAGTTAAGATTTTATATATATGTGTGCATATGCCATGCACGTACGTGTGTGTGTGTGTGCGTGTGTGTGTGTACATACCTAATTTTGCTAGCAGAAAATTTAAAGTTGAAGTGTAAACAATTGAAATGACCTTTTGGAGAAAAAGCACAGCAGTAACTCTGAGAACTTTTCCTTCCATGCAGTTTTTCTTATTTCTTGTTTTCTTTCTTTCCCCACTTCTTAGTGTTTCCCACTTGAATCCAAAGTCGCCTTGCTAGCCTGAGCCTCACATCCTCTAGGACTTTTCTTTGGAGTTCACGGTCCCCCCCATTCTCCTGCAGCTATTATCCTCCACAAACAATAAACTGTCACTTTCATCCTTTATCTATTCACACTTGTGAAAGTGTTTGAAAAGAATCTTGACATGTATATCATTTGCATAAATTAAGGCTGATTAATACATTAATGAAGTTTGTTCATTTTATAGGTCAGTGGTTTCCTGCACATTCTCCTTTTTTTTCAAAGCAAATAATTTTGATGTGTGAAAGACTGGAATTTTTACCTTTTTGATTTAAAGTTGTATTTTATTTTGTCCCCCTCTAAAAGCAGCATGGCCTTGTGATCTGATTATGGTTTTTAGCAACTCAGTTATATCCTGGCCGTCTTTCAGTGTCTTGCTGTCTCAATTTTGCCAAGCCTTTTAACAATTTTCTCTATGTTTTCTCATTTTTTCTTTTTTTTTTTTTTAAAGGAAATCATGTTACCTCCTGGGATGTTGTGGTTTTATTTTTAGGGCTGGTAATGTGTTACAGAAGCCTTGAGTACAGGCAGTTCCTTACCCATGAATGATGTGTACACATGAACATTCATACTTTACTGGCCCTCTCTTTCTCTCCCTTCTACACCCGGTTTCCCAACCAGCCAGTGCCGGAGCTACGTGCTCCTCGAGGCGGTCTGAGAAGCAGTTCCCAGAAAGCTCTGTCTGGGTCACTTTAGGAGATCATTCTTAACACATAGAGCAAATTTTTAAGTTCTTTCAGTAGAATAAAAAAAGGCGAAAGAGTACACAAACAGATTTGCAAAGGGAAATGAATACTTTCAATACACAGTTTCTGGAAAGTTAAAATCATGGGAAAGCATGTTGATGCTTTTCTGAAAAATTAAAAACTTCATTGTAGTAATTGCTGTGCTGAGCTTCTGTCTTCATGTTTGTTTCTGCTGCAGGTGTTAATGTTAACTTTGCAAAACGATCCACCCACTTTAGAAACAGGAGTAGAGGATAAAGAAATGATGAAAAAGTACGGCAAGTCCTTTAGAAAATTACTTTCACTGTGTCTTCAGAAAGATCCTTCCAAAAGGTATGTCAAACCTAGTGGGTGAGTTAATGCCCTGGTTTGAGCCGTGACAAAGCTCTGTTTGTGGATGGGGAAAGGCTGTGTGAGGACACCGGAAAGGTACTTCTAGTCTCAAGGGAAACCCTGCTCTGGCCCCCAGGTTTCCAACCCGTTAGTGGGAGACAGCGTGGGTCCGAGAGGGAGAGAAGAGAGTGCAGGATGAGGGAGGCAGAGGAAAATTTTCGGTGTTAATAAGATGCACTGTGCTTGTTAGGTGTGGGCTCTGTCATCAAAGGAAAGGAAGTAAAGCAGAAATCAAGAGGAATTGGCAGTGCTGCCTTCAGAAGCTGAGCTAATACTGTGCACTGTGTAGGTTGAGCTGACCTCTCAGGATTTGAATATCCTGCTAGCACCAGTCTAAACCAGGCAGAGCTATTGAATTTTGCATGAGCTTCCTTTTAGTTGCAGAACAAGTTGTTTGTGCTGTTTAAAAGATTATCAGTAAAGAAGATGAAGGAGATTTTTACCTTAGAAAGATTAATCATGTAAACACAAGGAAATGGCTTGAAGTTAACGTTAGTATTTCCTATTTATTGTTGAGTTATTGCCCTGCACTGTAGTGTGTCTGTTTTCTGAGTTCCTTTCTTCCTTCTTAATTTCTGTGACGTTGAAATACCCTGGGTAGTGATAATGGAGCCCACTGTTCTTTATCCCTTAAAGGAGAGTGTTGATGATGCGACCCCCGCACAGACCTTGCCTGGGTAAGGTCCCCTGTTAGGGACTGGGCTGTGTGTGGCATTATCCTAACTGAGACCTGGAGAGGCCTCTGAGAAGTTACTATCTACCCTAATCCACCGAAGGGTCCAATTTGATACTTAGGTTTTAAAATGTCATAATTGACTTCTCTGAAACTTTCTTTTTCAGGGAAGGACTTTGCTGTTACAAGTGATTGCTTTATTTTTCTCTTACATTCTTTATGAAACTTGCTAAGCCTTTTACCTTTACACAGTAATTTACTGTTTGAGTAGTCTACCCTTTTCTAGATTGAACACAGTTTCCATAATTTTACCCATTCTTTGTATTCATAGCTACTCTCTTCATTCCTTTACATTTACTGAATTTACCTTGAATCCTTTCCTCATCTGTCACCTTTCTCCTGGAGCCAGGGCTAAAGACTGCTTGCTGTTAAGCATCGTGAATTATTTATTGTAAAAGGCATGATTATTTCGTTATACCTATAGATTATTTCTGCTTGAACATCTCAGTTGGCCTTTACGTTTGATACGTAGAGCTTGTTTTCCCTCCAAAGTTTGATCTTCTATTGAGATTATTTCTTCACTATCCTTTTGGTTGAAAATGCTCTTAGATTCTAATTTTGTTCTTCGGTATTTGCTTGTCTTCCCCTTGTGTTTGGTGTCATCTCCAAAAGTAAATTTTTGACATCGCCAAGAGAACAGAATTTGATCCTCCATAGCTCAGTGAGAGAAGTACTTGTCTTTCCGATTAGTGCTGGGTTATTACTGATGGTCTCTGTGATCCTTCAACTATACTAGTTTAGATTCCACCTAGTGGTTGTGATGTGCAATGTCACAAAATTTTAGATTTTAAAGAAAACTTTAATAGTTCTGGAGGGTAGAATTGTTGGTGTACTTAATGATCTAACAATATATTTCTATAAGAGATTTGTAATTTGGTCAAAATAAATTAGATTGGCATACATTATACTTAGCAAACCATTTTTACTTCTTAATAATCTTGAAAGTCTTTCCAAGTTTTATTTATTATTCAGGTGCAAATGTCAGGTTCCCTCTACCAAAAAAAAAAAAAATCCTTTAGGAAAGAGCCATATGCCATATATTCAGATTCTTACAAAGTTTTTCCCCCAGAGTACTCTCTTAATGACATTATTGATATACAAAGTATTAATAGTGTAAGGACCCTTTTTAGGTATGTTCTCTATAACCTAATAGTTCTCATTATTATGCAGTTGTTCTTTATGACAGACTGTTAGTGGTGCACCAACTTCCCAGGTGGTTCTTTCTTTTAATGAAAAGACACGAATGTTGAGGATGTTTCCAAGGGGTTTAGGGGGAATAAATGATTCATGAAATGTTAGAATGGAGAAAAGCAATATTGTTGAATTTTTTAATATAGGATGCAATTTTAAGATATATATTCATTACTAAATTGATAAGTACACATTTAATTGCTGCACAATTCTGAAAGAAACTGTATTTTCAATACGTTCTGTCTTTGCTTATGCTGTTCAGAAGTTCCTGCTCTTCCTCTGTCCTCTTTCCACCCGTCTTTCCATTCTTAGTTCAGATGCCACATCTTCTTAGGGTTGGGTACGTCTGGTCGCGATTCCTAGCTCTGTCTTATCACCATATGCATGGCTTAGTTTCCTTGTCTGTACATTGGGCCAAATGATACCTGCTTGATAGGATCACTGTGAGGATGGGAGGAGACAGTGCACGACAACGTCGTGCCTGGAAAGTCCCTAAGTGCCCAGGAAATGAGATTGCCATTCATTATTTGCCTTTTTTTCCTGACCAAGTGGAGTTATTGCAACTTTTATGCAATAACTACAGTATATTGAAGATACGTCTTTAGTAGCATTTATTACACTGTGTATGTTTGTTGATTTACACACCTAAATTTCTCATGAGTTTGTAAGTTTTTTAGAAGGAGAATCTGTGCCACTATCTTTATATTCAGCATCTGGTCTGTATTATATACTCAGCACTATTTCTTGAACAACTGGAGACAATTGGGAGCTTTCAATGGTCATTTGGACCCATTGAGAAGAGTTTCAGAAATGGAAACCAGACAGATGGTTTGAGTATGTTGAGGAGTGAATGGAAAATTTTTACCAATTTTTATTATTTCTGTTGCCTGAGAATAGATCACCTACCCAGTTGACTGGGGCCAAGGCCCTGGTATTACTGAGTGCCTTTTGAACAACGAATGAAACAATGTTGCAAGAGAACAGTGACCAGAGCAGATTCACTCTTACGCATGTACTCACAGGCTAGCTGACAGTAGGCTGTGGTTTTTGTCATGCTTGACAGCTTGTGGGACTTTCCTTATAAAATAGAGCTGAGGTGTTGGAGCCCTTTGCCTCACCCAAGTCTGTGTTCTGCATTGGCATAGATAAAGAGTTGCTTATATTTGCATAGCAGAACATCTTGCTATTTCTTAAAAAAAAAAAAGAGCCTTAATCTTGTAGATTACATGCTTTGTGTATGGATGGTAACTGTAAAGAGAACCAGCCTTTTCTTTGAGCAACAGGGGGTTGGATGTTGCATAGATAAATCCCTTAAGAAATGAATAAGACTGGAGTATTTCTTTTGAGGAGTGGAGTAGGTGGAGAAAAGCAGCTTTGCCTGAGGTCAAAGGGCTGTTAGACCTTATTAATGCAAATTGTTAGAACTATTTAAACTATATCATATTCATCTCGAGTCCTTTGAAAATTATTTTAAGTCTCAGTGGACTTTGGTTCATCCATATGTATTAACTAACTCCTCTAAGAGATTTTCTTCTGAGAATATTGGTACTTGCGGACGACTGTATTGTTTTTAAGGATTTACAATTGAATCGTAATTCAAATCCTGGATCATTATTTTGGTTGCTGGCAGCATTTTCACATTTCCTGTAAAACAGTGTTTGTACTTATGTTACATTGGATTGCTCGGTGATTGTTAGCAGTCATGTGAGACATGACTATGCTTGCAGAATTCTTTCTCCTGCAGTACTCAGCTAAAAGGCAGGTGGCATTGACGGTCCCACTATGGCATAAAACTAAAACAAACAAACAAATAAATAAATAAAACTGACAGCAAAAACACCTGAAACCATATGGGCAGCAAGGCATCTCAGCTTTTGTTACACCTTCTGTCACTTTCTTTCCTCGGTCATTTTCCTCTGTCTTCCGGTTTCATTCTTTCTCTCATGGAGATAGTTTGGCACATGCAAGATTTTACACTTCAGCTGATTTAAGCACAAAAAGGAAGCAGTGACCTGCTATTTTGTTATTCTCTCTGTAGAGTGTTGGAATGACTTAACATTTAAGCCTATATAAAAAGAAAACAGAATGTGGGTTCTTTAAACCAGTTCTAATTTATTACATCCTTGTGTTTTCCCATTTACTGATGAAGCTAAGAGTAGGGTGGAGCACAGAGAAAGGAGTTTTCTCTGCAGCGTGCCTTTCCCCTTTCCATGTTTGGTTACCACAGAAATGACCTTGCTGGGGAAGGGAAAGTATTTTCCCAGCCTTCTATCTCAAGGTATGTCTGGCATTTCCCAGCTTTCTCTCTGCATGGTCCTACACTTGACCCTTCATGTGCCTAAGGAGGGGGGCGGTGCAGAGGAGACAGGGTAGCACCTGGGCTCCCCACCATAGCACCTCCACTGTCCCCTTTTTTGCTAGCATGATTCTTGTTTTCATTATGTCTTTCTCCTGTTCCCCACTGTATTGAACAGATGCTTAGAATTTGGTGCTAACCAAATCTAGCTCCCGGAGTTGTAGTGCTGTGTCCAGATGTCTAGCAGTATCACTTTCACCCCCATGTCTGATTATATTGATAGGATGGAATTGAGCTGTAGCACTTGCTGTTCTGTGCTAGGCATTGGGGATGTAAAAAGGAATCCTATGTGGTCCCTGTGTTGAAAGGGCGTATAACCTAGTGGGGTGGAGGTGGGGAGACACTGGAACCGATAACTGCATGACGGGCGTGTGGGTAGCATGGTGCATGAGCATTCAGTAGGGAGCAGTGCATTGCACTTGTAGGAGCCGGGAGAGGTACCTTTGAAGATGATGACATTTAAATTGGCTCTTGACTGACGAGCGAGGGTGTGCCCGTTGGTTACGAAAAATTTTGAAGCAAGAAAAGCTGTGTGTGCTTTGTCACGAATGAGCAAGAGACAAGTGAGAATATCATCGTAGCTGAAGGATAGAGTCACCCACTGTGGGGTGTGGGGAGACGAGGATAGAGGAGTCAGGATCTAGAAAACTTGCCTCTTTCTTAGGCCACTGAGATTCATTAGGATGGGTAAGAGATGATCAGCTTTGTTTTCGTTTTTTTTTTTAAGCTAGCTGGGAAGCAGTGTGGATCCTGGATGACGGGTGGGAATGAGGAAGAGGGAAGTGGCAGAGAGACTCGCTGGGTGGCTGCTTTAGCTCTATATTAGCCAGAGCTAAAATTAGATGAGGGTTTCAAACAAAACAGTGGCCTTGAGTTCTTTCTTCATGTTAGGATTCTTTTCACTTTTTAAAAATCAAATCTAAGTTATTTTGGGTGCTTCTTGGTTTTTAAAAATTTTGTTTCATGTTATGAGGTGCCAAACAGGACATTGTGGTCTGTTTCTCAGTCGACTGTGTAATGGTTCTGCCGCATGTTCTCTGAGCAGCTCTTATTCCTCCCAGGCATCCAGAGATGCTTGTAGTCAAACAGCACACTCTGACTCCTATCTGCTAGATTGTGCGTTGAAGGCACTATTTATGTCTATCCTATTCACTATAGTATGCCTAGCGCCTAGCGTAATGCCTGATGAATAGTAGATGATCAATAAATATTTACTGAGAGAATGAAAGGATGAATTTGGGGTACCGGGAGGCCAAAAACATTTCCAGTGATCTGAAAGAGTATACAGTAAAATAACAACCAAAGTTAAATCATGTAGAAGAGTTACACTGTAGTGTTCTAGTGCCTGTTTAACAAGGTGCAAATTCATGGCCCCACCTGTTGTTTAGACCTTTATTTATGCAAAGCAACTGGCAATTAGCAGCTGCTTCTTACAGTGTTATGGAGATAAAGGGTTCTTGTATAACCAGTGTTCTACTTGAAATCTGAGAAAAAAGCAGTAACAGTTTAAATAGAAAATTTCTTTGCACAGAAATACAGTCTATGGTTCCTGTAGACTTACAGAATTTGTACATGGATGTACTTAATGACATTTCCTAATTCTTTTTTACACTTAGGTTTGGTCCCTGGGAACATTTTAGTGGAGCTTCCTGATTCCAAAGCAGTCGTTTCCAGTGGTTTCAAACATGAGGATTCCTTTTAAACTTGCACCACCAGCCCCAACATAATAAATACTATTTATGTCCTTGGTAATCATTGCCTGAGAGAACACCTGGTGCTAATTCAATAATAGTTCAGTAATGCTTCCCAACCCCCCTCCCAATTTTTTATTATGCAAAATTTAAAGCATACAGCAAAGGTGAAAAAAACAGCACAATGTTTACTTCTATACCATCACCTAGATCCAAGAATTATTAACATTTTCTATAATTGATATATCCACCTACATTTTATTTGCTGAACTGTTTGAAAGTAAGTCATAGACTTAACACTTCAGCTTGCATTTCGTTCAAGTAAGAACATGTTCCTACATAACCATAAAAGTTTTCCACATCTAAGAAAATGAACAGTACTTTCCTAAAATTGTCTAATATCTAGCATATACACATATTTGTAATTATTTCCAAATATCTTTTGTAGCTCCTGCCCCATCCTCCCCAAGTGCAGGATTCAGTCAAGGGCTGTGTGTTAACATTTGGTTTTATGTTTCATTAAGTCTGTTTTAATCTAGAACCAGCCCTTCAGATCTCCCCATTTCTCCTGCAACACTTGACTCTTTTGAAAAGATCAGGACAGTTGTCTTGCAGACCATCCTACACTCTAGATTTATTTGATTCTTTCTGCATAGTTGCTTTTTTAGAAGGAACTATTGATGAAGGAAGCTATTCCCTTTGGAAGAATGTCAGTTAATAAACACAGAAGGAATGATAGAAGTAGTAAATCAGTGTTCTGCCACTTCCTATGAAATGATTATTTAAGGCAAAGATGCTAACACTCAAAGGTTTCCAGGAACAGGATATTTATGCAATGCCAAAGTATTACCCAACAGAATACTTGCTAATTGAAGTGGGGAAAACATGACCTTTACGATGGAGAGATTTGGGGTCTGGGGACCAAGTGGTTAAACTTAGCATCACTAACAGTGCAATGACCCAATAGTACCTGCCTATGAGGTGCTGTAGTTAAGAGGTGCATGCCACCATCTATGAAGTATTCTTGCCTCAAATGCTTAATTAAACCTATTCAAGCCTTCAGATCTAACTTTCAGTTTGCAGGAAATATAGGGTAGAGAAACAAATGACACCATGAGGAAATAATCAGACCCATCTAGTAATGCTTTTAAATGCATTTGCATTTTGTTAATCACGGTCACATTTACCTTCATTTGAAAAGCAGTGGTCCATATATACTTGAGACAGGTTTTTTCAGCGGGAAGACAGAGCTTGGACCATGAGATGCATGGACCCCTTGTAGTAACTGCTGCTCTTGGGGAATCAAAGAGCACAGTAGATTGTAGTTTCTTTGACAAGGTCATGTTGCAGCTTATGTGTTTTCTTAATAAATACAGAAATTTAGCTCACAGACATGTCAGTCTGCCACCTTTTAGAAACACTGAATTCACTTAGTGAAGTGTAAAGATGAAGGATGGAAAATTGATTATACCCCAAGCACTTAACTTTCAGGAGTTTATGTGTTTTGCAGTAGAGGTGTTTGGAAAGAACTGGAAAATTGGCACTATTTTATTTGGTGCCAGCTTATGATTAATTTAGTTTCTGGTTTTGCTATTCCTAAAGCTGGGCTTCCAGAAATACTCTAAGGTTAAGTTGTTTCATCAAGGCAGTGTATTTATTAAGTGGTCAACTTGTTTCAACTCTAATTTATTATTGATCTTTCAGGCCCACAGCAGCAGAACTTTTAAAATGCAAATTCTTCCAGAAAGCCAAGGTAACATGCTTAAAAACCCAAGTAAATCTGCTATTTTGAAATCACTATGAATTTCTATGTGTCGTATTTGATGTTAAACTGGTGGGATTATTTATTTTGCAGAACAGAGAGTACCTGATTGAGAAGCTGCTGACAAGGACACCAGACATAGCCCAAAGAGCCAAAAAGGTAAGCGCCATCAGCTCTCATGACCCTGTAGGAGTCAGTCCCCACTCAGGGAAATGAAACCCACAGAAAAATAGAAAAAAGATTTCCAAGATTTCCACACAGTCAAGATATGCTATTTAGAGGTTATCTAGTTAGTGACCACTCAGATAACTGCATTTGCCTTTTGGTTATCTCAGCTTGTTGTTATGCTTTTGGGTGTGAAAACAATGTGAAACTCAAATGGTTTCATTTTTCCATTTATCAGCTGTGCTTAAAGAAGGTTAGGGAGGAGGGGATATGATGAGGTTTAAATAGTGGAGAGGTAAAACATCCTTGAATGTCTTTCCTTTGGGTTTTGCAGAAGAGGAATGGGCACTTTTTAAACAGTTCGAAACGATGAAAATGAAAAACAAAACTGGCTTTTTTTTTTTTTTTTTTGAGACAGAGTCTTACTCTTTTGCCCGGGCTAGAGTGAGTGCCATGGCGTCAGCCTAGCTCACAGCAACCTCACACTCCTGGGCTCAAGCGATCCTTCTGCCTCAGCCTCCCAAGTAGCTGGGACTACAGGCGAGCACCACCATGCCCGGCTAATTTTTTGTATATATTTTTAGTTGTCTGATTAATTTCTTTCTATTTTTAGTAGAGACGGGGTCTCGCTCTTGCTCAGGCTGGTCTTGAACTCCTGAGCTCAAACAATCCGCCTGCCTCGGCCTCCCAGAGTGCTAGGATTACAGGCGTGAGCCACCGTGCCCGGCCTCAAAACTGGCTTTTAATGGTTGTTTGAATATCTGTAAGATATAATTATGTCTTCATAAAATACCTATGTTCCCTTTTGTAGTCTACCTTATGTTAACTAACTTATGTTAATGATTACCTGAAAAATTTTCCATTGTAGTTGTTAGATTTTTAAAAATGGCATGCATGAGTAAATGTATTTATATATGTATTTATCTAGAGTTTTATTTATTTGTAGTTATGGATTTCATTATGCTAGGAAACCTAACAAAATTTAACCTCTGGTTTGGTTTAGTTTTAAAATTATATTAGTTTTAAAATTAGTTTTAAAATTATATTGGTTTTAAAATTATATTAGATATTTATAGTTAAAAATAATACAGTCACAGATTTAGAAAGAGAGGTTCTTTTTTCCCCCGTTTTGATAGTTATAGAGAAAGCCAATATGAATCTGAGTTGTCTATGCTGTAAATAAAATTGGCAAAGAAATGTGCTTTAGAGATCGCATCTCATCATGCCTAGGTGACTGAATGTTAACTTCCAGACGTAGCCTTTTCTAAAATAGTCTATAAAAAATGCATTTAGCTGATGCTTTAGAATTGTTTTAAACAGATTTTAAAGTAGTCTTCAAGAAATGACCCACTCTGGGTCGGTATCCGAGCGCCTTTCCTGGAGCAGCAGAATTCTGTGGGGTGAACTGGATTCTGGGCTGGGAGTGGAGAGGGTTGGTGTGCTGACGGTGCCACATCTCTGAGGGAACAGTGAAAGTGGGGCAGCACAGAGAAGCTAAAGCTGCAATTTAAGGCAACAGATTAGAAAGTGGAAGTGCCACCAGTCTCCTGTCCCCAGACTGAAGGGAGAATCCTGGAGGATTCGTGGGGGTGCTGGAGTCTAGCAGGGGGTCTTGTGATCGGGTATCTGAATTGTCAGCCACAGTTGAAAAAAAGCTGTTTGAAAATCAGTGGCTTGTGTAGTACGTGTCCACGAAGGACTTTTTTTTCTTTTCGGTTTACACTTTTTTTGCTGGAAGTGTCACCTGATCTCATCCTGTCACCTGTTCCCCAAGAGGTGTTTTCCAGGCTGCTTTCTCTCTGGAACTTTGGCCTCTCACTGCAGCTCCTTGTTACGTGGCCGCCAGCCTCTCCATCGCAGTGACTCCAAATAACTTGCCCTCCCTCCCCAGCCTAACCTTCCTGCGTGCTCTATTTCTTTCTGAGCCCCCAGCCTCCGAGCACCAGGATTATATGTGAGACCTCCTCCCCCACTTGTCTTCCCTTCTAACCCCCGGCCACGGCCTCTCCACGTTTCCCTCTGCAATTTCGCTGTCTTTAACTGTTCTCCCTCCATCCCTCCTTTGTAGTCTTTCTTAGATGCTACTACAAGGTTAACGTTCTGATTGTGTCACTTAATTGCTCAAAAGTTGTTTCCAAAATTAAACAAAAACAACCACAAGAACAAACAAATGAAAAAACGGTTCCTGTTTAATAAAGGTCAAGCTCTTGAATTTATGGCACCATTTCAACTTCTAGCCTTATATTTTAACCCCGGCCAGACCGAACCACCTGTATTTTCCCACTGTTCAGCCCATACTTTCCTTTGGGACTTCCATCAATTTGAGAAAATGAAGAATCTCTTCAGGCTGTAACTTTCTTTCCTTTTTTTGGGGTAAAAATTTATTTATGACATATTAGTGTGCCGTGCATTCTAAACCCAATTTTGTATGTGTCTTAAACAATTGAAAGATGTGATTTTTCAACCATGTCTTCTGCCATTTACTTGCTCCTTGATTTTATGCATAAACCTCAGGGCTTGTTTCATCATCCGTCCCTTCAAATGGAAGGTGGCTGCACAGCTCAGAGTCATATAGCAGAGTAAAGGGAGAATATAAATTAGTTCTTTAAGCATCTTATAGAAAAAAGGGTGGCCTATTGTAACACCATCCTGGTTCTTGAGCTTCATAAAGTTGGCTGTTTTCCTGTCATAATCCTCATTTTAAAGTGCACTTGGGTTATCAGCTATGCTCCACCCCTCGCCTGTAGGTTCTTCGGCAGGTACACTGTTGAGGACAACAGCCATCATGGTGCGTACCTTATTCATATTAAGTGCCCACAAATATTCGCTGACTGAATCATCACATGTGCTTGTGTGTACCATGAAAAAACTATTTGAAACTCTGTTTTTCACTCACTTAAACCCCCAAAATTCTTGGCATACACTTGTTCCAAGGATTCCTGTTAATAGTGGGCCTCCTTCCTCCCTCCCTCCCTCCGACGTGTAATATTGGTTAAGCAACCATGACCTTCCTTATTGGAAGCTTTTCATGCAGGCTTGGGCACCAGGAAGTTAATGTTATTGTAATCACCATGTGCAATAAAAACTCTTACTGTAGGATGTCCGGACGTCTTTGCTTGTCTTAGGTTCTTACAGCGTTTAAGTTACTTTTGTTTAAAAGTTGGTTTAGGGGAGTCTTTAATGTTATTTGTCCTGGGTCTTCTCCTTACTGAGATCTCTTCAGCTACTTACTTTTCTGTTCACTGTGGTGCCTCCTAATTGATTTTGCTCTAGTTTCCATGGTGTAGATTTGTTCTTCAGAGGCTACTGTTGCTGTAGGTCCTATGGTTTTTGTCTTCTCAGTTTGTTGTTTTTCCGCATAGAAACAGTCAGTCCACTGATACGCTAGTGTTTAAACAACACCTGGGCCTGTTGGCAAAGCTCTTGGACATTTAGGCAACCACATTGATTTGAAATTTGCTGTCATAAACAACATTCTCTTCTCCTCCCTTTTGGTAATAAAAATCAAGAGATATTTTTAATATACATTTTTAACATTTAACATGAGTAATTTTCATATTTAAAAGAGAGAGAACGTCTGGTATAGTGGCTGCTCCTAGAAAGCCCCTTGGAGCCCACCAGTGCTGTCCTTTGGCAAGAGAGAGCCAGAGGCCTGTCATACTTGTGTTTGGCCAGAATGTGACGCATTGGTTGGGTGCCACATAATTCCATGAGGGTAGGCGGTTTTGTCTTCATCCGGATTGATTTCTCTAAATCACACACACACAAATATAAAATGGGAACAGATCAGTGCGGTTTCTCTAGTCATTTAGTATGTAGAATGATTTTTTTGTGTGTGGTTGATAATTGCAGAAATTAAGGATATTTGTTTTCTTCCTGGAGGCAGAGCATTTGGTCTATTCTGGGTTCTTTTGTTGACAGATAGTGTTGTTTAGGGAACATGTTGATTTTCTTTGGCTCTAATTTTTCTGTCTGTGAAATGGAAATTCTGCCTGACCCCCGGCATGTGGTGAAGGATAATGAGAGATTGGATGTTCCTGGACACCAGGATGCTCTATGTATTCTAAATGAGAACATGCTACGAATGACTGATGAGAACAGAGTGTAAGTACATCTAATATAATGTTTCAACTTTTCACCATCTTGTGCATGAGAATAAAAGGTTTCACGGCCATCACTGCCTCTCATGGGACTCTCTTGGGGCCTGTCTCCAACTGTCTTTTTGGGTTGAAAGCTCAGCCACGTGGTGTTTCCATCATTTACTCTGCCGGATTCGCTAGGTGCGGAAGGGAGTCAGTCGTTCTGTTAAAATTGAATGCAGATGCTTAGGGCTGTGCGCGTCTCCTGTAGGAACTTTGAATCCTCAGAGTTAGCCGATGTCTCAGTTTTATGTTAGTGATATGAACCTTGAGTCGCCACAGTCACACATTTAAGCTTTCTGTGGCTTTCTAAGTCCCACATATGGCAGCACAGAGAGCAAGGGACTAAAGCTATACAGATGTCTAAATGCTGGCTGCTGAGCCGGAAAGCATGTTGGCCAGAGAAGGGATGAGGCAGAAAAATGTAATGCATAGTTCTTCTTATTGTGGTTGCCTTTGTTTTTATCAGAAGTACAATTACTGGAAGATTTTTGCTTGAATGTTCTTAATCATGAAATCGAGAAGGTGGAAATGGTTAGTTGCTGTCAGAAGGAGGAAAAGGGTGTCTTATCACTGCCATCTTTGGGTGGAACCACTGGGAATTGGAAACACTGAGACATTATTTGTGGGTCCCAGAACTTCTTATATTAGGCTGTAAGACTGATTTCATGTTAAGGCTGCAAGGTTCCTGGCTCCATCTGATCCTCCCTGGTGCTTAGGAAACACTGGGTAAGATGACAGTGCACGTTTATTTGATACTTACTGTGTGCTGATAACTTGTCTTGTTTGTTTTTACTTTTTATTTTGGAATAATTTCAGACTTACAAAAAGTTAGAAAAACAGTATAAAGGATTT